AAATATTCAAAATTCTAAAAAGGTTTTTTGAGCTTAATTCATTCTAAAAATAGATGTCGTCGAAGTCAAATGACTCAACCAGATTTGCTGCTCGTGTGCCTTTTTGTACCAATTTAATGGCATATTGAAATCTTTGGAAACTTTGAATCTTTCTATTTGTTCCATTTCATTGAAAGTAGCATCTTGTAATAGCATGTTGAGCATAAGGTACAATAATATCTTCTGACTCAACAACTTTCTATAGATATGAAAATGCTTTCTTTATATCTATAACCGTAAATTGTTGCAATAAAACACTGAGCGAGATTATATTGTCCAATAGTATTTTCACTTTTCGCTGATTCTGAATATAATTTGAATGCATTTTTCTCGTTTTTTTTTGAGCTCCTATACCAAATACATGTAGATATTAATAACTAGGATTAGATTGTTCATTAGCATTTCCATCCTCGACTGATTTCAAATATCATTCGAATGCTTTTTTCTCGTATTTTGAGTTCCGATTCATTTTGATAACAATAACCGAGATTAGATTGACCAAGTGTATCGGTATGTCCATTCTATGCTGATCTCAAATACTACTCAAATGCTTTTTTTCATCTTTTGAGTTCCTACCGAAATTATACTGTCCATTAGCATTTTCACCCTCTGCTGATTGCAAATACTATGGTGCATAAAATCAAACGTCTGTATTTTATAAGCTGTCTAAACATCTTTACTAAGAAGTAAATTCAAAATTTAACCCGTGAATATGCTCAGAAAGGACCTATTCTATCATATTCACGAATTAAATTTTGTATTTACTTAGTAAAGATGTTTATACAGTACAGTTTATAAAATATAAACGTTTGATGATTTTAGATTTTAGATTTTATACACCATAATCAAATGGTTTTTTATCTTTTTATGTTCCAACACCACCATTTTGATAATAAAAACAAAGTTTAGATTGCACAAATGTACTTTCATCCTCTGCTACTTTTTTCATATTTTTGAGTTCCAATAACTTCATACTAACAAATACCAAATTATATTGTTCACTCTGCTAAGTTCAATAATAATCGAGACTATATGTCCAATAGGAGATCCACCTTTTGCTGGTTTCAAATATCACTCAAATGCTTTTTTCATCTTTTTTATATTGCTAAGTTTAGATTGTGCACCTGTATTTTCACCTTCTGCTGATTTTATTGTATTCGAGCATCTTCATTTTCAGCTAATTTCAAATGTCAATAAGTATTTTTACCGTCTTTTTTATTTTATTTTTTCAATTGTCGACAATGAATTTCCTGGTATATAACTATTCATAAATTAGATAAATATATCTAGACTCATTTATTTCATATTGATAACAAAATCAACAAGTCATTTATCTTTATAGATAGATAGCAATGACTTTTTCTGTATTATTGAATACATTCTTAAAGCTTTCTCTTTCAATTCTTCATTTTCGGAAGTATCCGTCGAAAATAATTGATAATTCCCTTGTAAAGTTTTGAATCAGCAACTTTATCAGTGTCTTTTGTTTTCATGGCTGAAGTCAAAGATGCGAATAATTTCTCTATTTTTTCAGTCAATCATTGTATTTGGTTATTTTCAAAAAATTTAATATAAATGTCCGTTGAAAAATTCTTACAGTACGTATCGGTAACTTTATTGATATTTAAATTCAGTTGTGATTAATTGCAGTACCTTTGTGATTAATATGGTGCATGCCGTCTAAAGTCATCAAATGTTTGTATTTTATAAAATGGATAAACTTCTTTACTAAGAAGTAAATACAAAATTTAATCCGTAAATATGCTCAGAAAGGGTCTATTCTATCAAATTTACGATTAAATTTTTTATTTACTTCTTAATAAAGAAGTTTATCCGTTTTATAAAATACAAAATTTGATGACTTTAGATGGTATGCACTATACAGACTTTATTAATCCCACCATTGTTTTCCTCTTTTTGTCACACTATAACAGTGATTTATCTTATGTAGCAAATTAATTAATAATTTTTCTTGTAATAAGCTAGTGCTTAAGTATCAATAAAGTTTAAAAGCCACAATTATAATTACTTACTTGTGTACAATAGCTCTTATAAAATTCGACATTAATTCACCATGCTAATAATTTGCTTGTTTAAAGAAGATTTACACTTTTGATCCAGCAAAGTGGTTAGTTTGTTAACTTGCGAATTCGTATTCTGTTAAAGGACGTTATTGAAAAATACAACAATATCTGAATATATTGACACAAGGCCTTAGAAATCTAACCATTACAAAGTAGTATTAATTATTAAAATATAGATAGTTTTAATATAAATTGTTCCATTTTTTAGTTATTAACCTTTTAAAAATGATCCATTTTTTGTGATATTTAGATGTTCTGCACCACGATTACAATAATAATTTTAGCCAATAAAAACAACGGTTTAACTCGTCGATGCTTCGAAACCTCTAATATTTTTTATAATAATTTGACAACAGATTGATTATTTCGGCCATTTTTGTGAATTGAGCGATTTAAGTCAAATTTTCAATTAGTAATTTCATTATCGAGATTTAAGATCCAATAAATAAATAGTCGAATTAATGCTCCTAGGAGAGATTCCGATAAATTTTGTGCCGATTTTTATGAAAAAAGTTGTTCAATGTGAGAAATTTTCTAATCGAAAATTTTGACTTAAATCACACAGTTTCGCAAAAATGGTTAATATAATCTGTTGTAAGATTATTTTTGAAAAATATTGGAGATTTTAAAATGAATACTTTTTACAGATTTACCGATGAATCAGTCATAGTCCATTACTGATAGCGAATGAGGTTATGCCATTGTACGCGTTCCGAAGCAAATTTTGATAAAATAGAGGTTGGCGTCGAGATCTAATAGTACTAGTGGCATTGTTGCTGCAGCTATAAGATCGCCGAAACATCTGAGAAGGGCGAGGACAACTATTTAACATAAAAAATTCGAATTAGTTCTTTCATGACCTTGAATCAATTGATTTTCCCATGATACATTACCAACTGGAACATTTAACAATTCGAATATAATTAATAGCAATTTGTTAAGATCCGGTGCAAAAAGATTTGCACCTCAAAATAAAAATTAATATTTGCTTTTAATAAAAATTAACTAAACTCTATAATTTTTTTACACTAAGTAAAGAATATTTAAACTAACTATTTATATTATTCTTTTGTACTTTTATTCAATAATAAATGAAGCAATATTTTTCTAAAAAATAAAAAATTGTTTTTTTTTAAAAAATACATTTAAGCATTATTTTTATTAATTTGCAATATTAGAACTTCAAATTATGCAAGCATATTGCCATATATTTGATAAATTATATTTTGAATTTCATAAAGATTGAATCAGTAGTTATGCAAATATTAATTTTAATCAAATTTATGAAATAAGAATTCAAAAAAGTCATTACTAGTAAAATTTTTTATGAAATATATCTATTTTAATTAATCCTAATATCTACGTAATGACTTAATTAAATAAGAAAGAATTAAAATTTTATTTTAAAAAAAATAATTTTTTAATAATTATTTGAGGTGCAAATTTTTTTGCACCGGATTATAGCAAATAAATAATTCGACATTGCACATTGCAAAGTAACATATGCTGAACGATTCAATGCCACAACAAGCACAATCACAATTCAAACAACCCAATCAAGAAGTATTGCAATCAGGTAAGATAATGCACCTGCGCCTGGCAAGTCATCACTACAACAAAGATTTGCCCAAACCGCGATAATACCGGCCGGTGAATCCGACCAAAAAGAGAATAATAATAATAAACAGTAGAATTCCACCGTAAACAGTTGATATCCAGAGTTCGCGATCATTTTTGGAACTGAATGCCCGTTGCCAGTGATAATTCTTACATTTAGTCGGATAATGCAAAAGAAATATCATACAATTATTCAAATCATTACCTGATGATAAATTAGCAAATGCAATAAAAACCGCTAATATATGAAGTAATTCCCAGCTGAGTTTGATGGATCTTAAAGTCCCACGCGTTCTATAGCCGAGCAATCGATTCCTATGTTCATACTAAATCAAACACCTTGCACATTATCGGTGAGCGGAACCCTCCATGTGCTTCAATACATGTATCTCGAGAGTATGATAAGTTGTTAGAATAGCAAAATAATTTACCAGCATAAAGCGTGGTAAATACTGATACAATAATTGGTACCCAACTTATCGACTTCAGTCAACGTCGTTAAAACAATTTCAATAGAGGACAACTCACTAATCTTGTAACAAAACATATACAACTCACTCTCGATATATGAAGAATGTTTTTAGAATCATTAATAAACTTCAACTCGATATAGTGAAGATTTTTCTCTTACCCCCCCCCCCCCGATGTCTTCACTATAACGAGGTTTAAGTGTATGCCATTGACATTGAAACGCTCGTAAATTAGTGATTTGAACCGGTTAAACTATAATTGGGTAACCCGAACCGAAGAAATTCGGTCGAAGCAAAAAGCACAAGTATCCTTTTGTCATATTATGTAATCCTTGTCATATTAGATCTAATGACGTATATTTGTAATCCTTGTCATATTAGATCTAATGACGTGTATTTGTAATTCTTGTCATATTAAATTTAATGACGTGTATTTGTATCATACGTGAGACTAAATAAATAGTGATTCAAGCATGGGGTTTTGTAAAAATTACATTTTAAAATGTTAATGATGTTGGACAGTAAACATGGTGAAGAGATTTCACAAACAGAAAGCTCACAGATAACTGAACAAAGCACAGAAGGTACTCGTAAAAAGTACAAGCAGCGTAAAACGACTAAATTAACCTCAAAGTGCTGAAAACAATTTAAATAAATTGAAGTTATGATTTGGATACATGACGAGAAAATTTCATTTTTAATAATGATGATGACATAACGATAAGTAGCGATGAATTATGGAGATCGATGATACTATATAGTGACTATTGATACTTTGATGGAATAAATGATGTGGGAGCGAAAGTTGAAAGGAAAGGGTCAGAATATTGTAAGTCATGTTGAGGTAAGAATGAGTCCAAGGGGAAAAATAGATACTGTCGTCAAACAAAATAAAAGAATGCTCCTGTAAAAGATGTTAATCTCAGCATTGTTTCCTACATTTCTATTTGTACATATATTAACCATCATACTGAATATATTTTAACGCATCAGCATGGATTGATTTTAGACTCTGCTCAAACATTATACTTGCCTTTAATTCTCCGAGCCCACGCCTATTCAAAAGAAAAATTTGCCCATGGATTATCTGGACGTGATAATTAGGTGGCGGAAACTGGATCAGGGAAAACACTTGTATTTGGACTTCCTATTCTACAGTATTTAGTGAATGAGGAAACCTATCAAGATGATACACGCACAAACGAGCTTGTGGCGTTAATTGTTACTCCGACTAGAAAATTGGCGATATTTATATTGAGCATTGGAAAGTTTGATGACGTCAAGGTTAGTGAATTAATATTAATTACCTAGTTTTGAATACATGAAGAATATGTCTAAATTTTTCAATAAATAGATCATAACACTTGTCAGCGATATGGCAGTTCGACTAATGGATAGACATTCGAATATAATTGTTGCTACTCCTGGTCGATGCATAAAATTCTTTGTACTTGAGTATGCTCGAGTGAGTCTGGCTATTTCCAAGGATTGAATAATTAGCTGTTTATCAAAAAGTGAACAGTAAGTTATATTTTGACAAATTACTAGAATTTTATTGCGTGTATTTTTTTTCATAGAATGTGAACTAAGTTATCTAAATACTTCTCACTCTTAGAAATACCAATGATCGGTCAGATAACGAAAGTAAAGGATCCACTGAAATCAACGAAAAATAAATAAGAAAAAGTGCCTGTTTGGACTGTTAATAAGCATTTTAAACAGCTGTCCAATGGATAAATAATAAATAATGATAGATCTTTCAAAAAAAAAAAACAAACATTTACGTATATTCTGCCACACACGACAAGAATCTAAAAGAGAACTTGAAGAAAAAGAAGTATTTCAAAAACACTTTAAAGAAATTAGAGGTTAATAAAACACGTGCCCACGATGATGAGTGCAATGTCTTTTTATGAGTCATAAGTAAATTACATTTATACATAATATTATTTTGTTTTCTTCTAGAGGATTAATGGAACGGCTCGAGTTTACCGATCTCTAGTGATATCACATCGGTATCTAGTATATGACATGAATCAAAGATTGATTGCTTCATCACAGAAAAGGTTATTATTTTAATTTAACAAATAATGTTTAAATATACTTATCGTGACGAATAAATTCATTTGCATCTTATCAGTAAATATCTTTATTTATATCAAATCAGGATGTTTATATCTACACATATTCGTCAATAATCTGGATTAATTCCCATTACGAGATTATTGGAAATCGAAACACTGGGACTGAAAAGTAAATCTCTTTAATTGACTTTTTATATTAAACAATAATAACACAAAAAACAATATATTCAAACAAAACCTGAAAGCTGTCATTGGTGGAACATATTCTGGTGACGTAGGTACCCGTGGAACATTTTTATTATGTACATCGAAGTGGTCGAACGGCAAGAGTTCAACGAGAAAGAATAAGCTTTATGTTGTGTAGTCCTGAAGAAATTGTATTATCGTAAAATTTGTCAAAAGGTAAAATTAATTTTTTCGCGTCGTATCGGTATTCTTGTGGCAATTAGACAATAAAATGCGTCACATTTCAATTGGACATGTAAAGTTCTAACACTGACCTATTACTAAAAATTTCATTTTTGTTGTCTCATATGAAGGTCTGTCCGATTTTCCGGTCGATCAGAGTAGCGTGAAAGCCATGAAGCAGAGAATAACTTTAGCGCGCAAAATTGATCAGGAGGAACATAAGTTTATTTATTTTAAAAAAAGTATTGATTGATAATTTGGTTTAATCAATAAACGAAGCAATAATAAAAACGATAATGATGATGGCGACAACATCAACACCAAAAAAATTAAATCAATGAAGCACAACTTCATTAAAGTACTTGACAGGTGTTGTGCGTGACTTGGCGGATTGATTGCTTCTGGATAGTGATCCTTGTATGTTATTGTTTCTAACGTGTTTGTTTTAGTGAATCCTTCATTGCTGGCTTGGGGTTAAGCAAACAAAGACTTGAAATCAAAAAAGATTAGGAAAAAAGGAATGAATTCTGGTACTAATGACAATCATCAACATCAAAATAATATTAAAGTAAAAATCTCGGTATCAATAGAGATATTAGTAATAAAACAGTTAAATCAAAAAATAAATATTGAACTATTTTTTATTTTTCAGTTCGATAGGCTTGTAACTAAAGTTGCTTGCCATATTTGATAAGTTTGTTAGAGTCATCATTATATGATAGTTTTATCTTCTCCGAAAATATGATAAAATTCTATATATACCTAGCTATATAGTTAAAACTACTATATGAAGTTAATTTACTTAAAATATTAATATAGCTTTGCATTGTAAAACCTGTACATAATATTTTAATATAGGTTTGAGCAAGCGACCTTATATTGTTTGTAACAAGTCTAAAGTTTTACTATTTAAGCTAAACTGTTTCAAACCGTTTATTAAATCGAAACAAAAATAATTAATTGGCTTAATTATGTCTTTGATGTTAATTAACATTAACCGGCTGTTCAGAATTTTTCAGATAGTACATGATGACGTTTATTATTACATATATAAATATGTCATCAAATAATCAACCAATAGTTTTTCGATCTGAAAACCCACAATTTTGCAAAGTGGGGGGTAAAATGGGGGAAAATTTATTTAAGGAGAATAGCTTTCTAAGAATCGTTTCTTTATCACAATGATATCATTGATGTTGATGATGATGTTGACGTTGATGTTGATGTTGACGTTGATGTTGATGTTGATGAAGATGTTGACGTGGACGTGAATGTTGATGTTGACGTTGATGTTGATATTGATGAAAATGTTGACGTTGATGTGGACGTGGATGTGGATGTTGATGTTGATGAAGATGAAGATGTTGACGTGGATGAAGATGTTGACGTGGACGTGGATGTGGATGTGGACGTTGATGTTGATGTGGACGTGGACGTTGATGTTGATATTGATGAAGATGTTGATGTTGATGTTGATGTTGATGTTGATGAAGATGTTGATGTTGATGTTGATGTTGATGTTGATGTTGATGTTGATGAAGATGAAGATGTTGACGTGGATGTGGATGTTGACGTGGATGTGGATGTTGATGAAGATGTGGATGTTGACGTGAATGTGGATGTGGATGTGAATGTTGATGTTGATGTTGATATTGATGAAGATGTGGATGAAGATGTTGACGTGAACGTGGATGTGGATGTTGACGTGGATGTTGATGTTGATGAAGATGTGGATGTTGACGTGGACGTGGACGTGGATGTGGATGTGGATGTGGATGTGGATGTGGATGTGGATGTGGATGTGGATGTGAATGTTGATGTTGATGTTGATATTGATGAAGATGTGGATGAAGATGTTGACGTGGACGTGGATGTGGATGTTGACGTGGATGTGGATGTTGATGTTGATGAAGATGTGGATGTTGACGTGAATGTGGATGTGGATGTTGATGTTAATGTTGATAAAGATGAAGATGTTGACGTGGACGTGGATGTGGATATAAATGTGAATGTGTGGATAAAGATGTTGATGTTGATGAAGATGAGGATGAGGATGAAGATGAAGATGAAGATGAAGATGAAGATGTTGACGTGAACGTGGACGTGGACGTGGACGTGGATGTGGATGTGGATGAAGATGTTGGACGTGGATGTGAATGTGGATGTGGATGAAGATGTTGATGTTGATGTTGATGAAAATAAAAATGAAGATGTTGACATGGACGTGGATGTGGATGTGAATTGAAACGAGGACGAGAACGAGAACGAAAAATGAATCTTCTTTTTCTTTCATTTTTTCCATTCATTTCATTTTTTTTATTTCATTTCCTCCTTTTTTTATTCATTGAATTATGTTTTACGTAATTTTCAGACCAGTTTAATTCGAAAATTGTAAAAATAGATTTTTGTTAATAATTTTATTTTTACTAAGACACTTGTATTTTGTGTAAATAGAGTTATTCGGAATGTCATTGTATATATTCACAAATTTTCATTTAATTTGAACGAAAATAATGATTTTAGGCTGATTCGAAATATTTCGGATCAGGTCTAATCCTGTGGAGTGTGCCAAAAATTGAAGAAAATCAAAATTAATCCTCATCTTACGCATCTATGTTCAATATCATAAAATGGTGCGCATTCTGTGTACATGTATATGTTGTGTGATCTGGATATATCTAAACAATAAATTGCACTCTTGTTAGCATTTGATTATTTTTGTGTAAATGTACTTGGGCTCGTGATTGATATCTAGGGTGATATGCGTATTACTCGTCATCATGATTAAATTGGCGTCACGAACCACCATATAATAGCTAACCCAAATTTGGGTTAGCGTGAAGAATCAGCGATTCCTTGCACTGCAAGATCATTTTATTTTCCCGCTGAATTACTGGTTAATCGAACATGCGTGTTATACAGCCCAATTTATAATATATTTGGATCTGGTACGACATTCCGAAAACCATAATCCCGGCAAGTTATAAACCTGACAAACGAATCCTGAATGAACAGCATACCGAATGCACGAAATCCCGAATGAACAACATACTGAATGCACGGTATACCGAAAGTACGACATTCCGAATGCATGAAATCTCGATATTTAAAATCTTAATATGTCACTTCATTGATTCATTGATATCTGGTATTTTGTCCATTAGAGATGCCATGCATTCAGAATTTTGTGCTTTCGGTATGCTGTTCATTCAGGATTTCGTGCTTTCGGTATGCTGTTCATTCGATATATCGTGCATTCAGGATGCTGTTAATTCGGGATTTCGTTTGTTGGGCTTATGTATTGTCAGAGTTGTGGTTGTCAGGATGTTGAGCGTCACCCATATATTTACACATGCTGGTTTCGTTTCATGCTAATGCTTTGCACGGATTAATTCGATGTTTACTACCATAAATCAACACGATCTTTTTGTATGCGAGTATATCAGAATGGGCTGAGCCAGAGTCTTCGACTCATAGCCTTTCTAATAAAAACTATATATAGACTGATCGATATTTTTTTCTTGGTCAAAGTTATCGCACATAATCTATCGTTATCGAAATCTATAGTAGTGGTAGTGTTACGGGTAGATCATAATTAGGCGTAATCGACGATTTTGCCTGCAACAATAGGTTGGGAGAGAGTGAGTAAACTGAGTGGTTTTTAATTCCTGTGCTGATATCTACGGATATCGTTCAGTATGACGGTAGATAGGGAATTTGGATGGGAGTTTGGATGGGAGTTTGGATGATTCAGTTTTTAGGTAAGGTGGTTTTGGGTTTTATATGTTTTACGTGACGGGTTTATCGTTGCTTTTTCTACTAAAAGCCTTAAACTATTCAACACAAAGCTTTCAATCAATCAATTGAAGTTTTAACAATAACAATGCCTTTTCTGGATTAAAGGACCTAACTACAATCAATTACAACAATTTCACAAGTCTAATTTTATTGAAGAATTCTACGCAATTTATTTACAATTTTTATTAACATCCACGAGGACTATATATACATATTTGTGTTTACATCGTAAAGTATCTTTCTATACTTTATTGCATAACGTAAAAGAGAATTATATAAATTTTATAAGAAAATTTACATATAACGATAATAAAAAAAATCTATATTAACGAAATTTATTATTGTACATGTACATGTATTTCAAATAGATTTGATCTACATGTGCGTACATAGAATATACTCCAGTACGTATCTCATGCATTATTACATACCGATACATAGAATGACCGATAACGCAGACTCATTAATTTGTAATTTTTATTCATATTCATTTATTATTATTACTTTGACTTTCATTTGCGTGTGTAAAACTTTGAAATGATCTAGTAATTCGATGCATGAAAAATAAGACATACGTACGTAGAGAGTGTCGTATTTAAGAGAACCTCCGTAAAATAAGTACATGTATTAACTAAATGACATGACGAACAATCAAGTGTTCAAATAACGATAATATTAACGTTAATGCGACAAACGAAACTACGGTAGGAACCGATATATGTGATTGAATATACACATAAATGAAGAACTTTATATGAATAAATAAATACGTAAACTCAAAAGAAGTTAGAAACTGCTTTTGGTCGTTATGATTTAACATTAATTCAAAACATAGTTAATATCGATTCCATAATTACCGTCAGTGATTTCTAATGTTTTAGACTCTTGAATCAAATCAACAAAAATAAAAATTTTAAAGTATAAAGTAAAATAGTTACCATTTCTTTTCTTGACATTGTGTTGGAAGTTTTTAACTTTAATCTGTAGTTTTTCACTCGCTATCTCTTCATTCTCTTTTATTTCATGTGGTATATTAAATCGAAATCTGTTTTGCACCACCATAAAAAAATAGTAATGAATTAATGAAGTCAATAAAAAAATACTATTAATATAATTTTACCTTCGTTTGGAACAAACAAACAGACACTTGACATTCCTAGACATTTGATACGAGTTTTAATTAATATGGAATATCAATGTAATTTATATTTAGAAATAAAAAAAATACCTGTGTCAGTTGTAATTGAAATTAATTTTATGGTAAAGATTCGACTCGTGTAAACTGCATTGAAGTGGATTGCTTGTTTTTTTGTTCATATCCGTAGGAATACTTTTTTGTAATTCCATCTCTTCGTCAAGTTCTGTTCTTCTAGTTTAAGACACGCAATTATTTCTTCGTGTGTCTTAGGATCTTCTAAAGAGTTGTAGAACTGAAAATGCAAAGTATTCAGTTCATCTTATACCGAATGAACCGGTCAGTATCATAGATCGAGAAGATGAAGTAATAAAGTTCCTCAGCAGTTGGTATGTTTTCTGGAATAGGATTCCAACATTTTCAATGATAAAATTGCACCATCCAGGAATATTATTTGGTATCGTAGGTTGTAGATGTCGCATACAAGATGTATATCGTGACTTCGTTCACCAAATGGTCGTTCACCTGTGACAACCTCGTACGTAATCATTCCAAACCTATAAATATCTGCAGCTTGAGTGTATGGCTTTCCATTTAGTACCTCTGGACTCATATAAGGAAGTACTCCACAAATTTTTAATCAGATTTCTATATCCGTCGGGCCGGTAAATCCAAAATCGGCAATTGTAGCTAGATCCCGTATTAATATATTTCCAGGGTGAAAGTCACGATGCACAAATTCCTCGTTGTGACTTATATACAACCCTCGAGTAATATCAGTTAAATGATCTAATTTTTGTCGTAGTTGGAATTCATATCGATATATTTGCGTAATCGTCATCTTTGCATTCATTTGTAACCGGGGTTTTTGGTTATTCCATAACGATAATACATGTAATTCATCACATTGTAATAAGTGCACTTTAGAGCAGTCTGAATCTAATTTTGAAAAGTTAGTTAGATTGAAAAAAAAGCGATTGCTTATACTTTAAAAGATGTTCATTTTACTTCGTTTATAAACTCGGATGCAACTTTCTTTGAATTATGTAATGATTCAACACAATATCATTATCATCTCTTTTAAATTTTGTAATCGTGCAACGATGCTTTATAAATTGATCCGAATCTTTCAAAAGGGATCCATTCAAAAAATCAACATTCATTTATTAAATAGTCGATATCTTTATTTCGCTAAAATTTCCAGCTTTATAAATTCGTTTGACAATTACGATTATTACATGCAGAGCAGGACCAATTTTATTTATCGCCATCGGAATATTTATTTTCTTTTTCTTAAGCTTTTTATTTCGTCATCGTCATCAGTATCTTCTTCTGAGGAACTTTCTTTTTTTGCTCGCTAGTTTTTTGGTTTAAATTTGGGAACAGCCTTTTTTAATATCAACTGTATAAATTAATTGATTTTCTCTGAACTTGACGATGTGGCAGCGGATTTCTTCTTTTTCTTTTTTCCGCCTGCATTAGAATTTTCGGACTCCTCTTCGGAATTATCTTGGTCTTCTGATGGTATTTCTCCTTCTATTTAAACTGTACGATAAAAAATCCTTACCATAACCTTCTAAAACAAAAGACCTCTTCATTATTGTCGTCACTTTCGTCTTTCTCTTCCTGTCACGTTTCTTTTTGAAATTCTAGTTAAAACCAGTTTGACTTTATTACTTGCACTAGTTATCATGACATTCCTTCTTTTACACGATAAAATGATAATATAAAGCAAGAGCCAAGGTCCGAACAAAAGCAAAAATACAAAAAAGAAATTTTATAAAATAGTAAACCAAAAGACTCAAAAAGTTTGTGCACTCAAAATATACGTGAAAAAAAGAAAAACGATCATGCTAAAACTTACAGCGCACAATCGCATATTTTTGCTCAGAAAGAAATAGTTTATAAAGAATATTATCTTCTTCTTACTTTGATAAGTCTCCTGCTCCTCTTCTGCCTCCGTTTAAGCTTTTCTTTTCGCAGCTAATTTCTCGAGCTTTCTTTTTTTTTGTTAGCATTATCGAACATGGTTTTAGAAATTATTCAAATCTAGATCAAGCGAGTTGCGCACGCGCGAATAAACCACAAAAAAAGACGTGGGCGTGTTGACTAAAAAAGAGTGAAAGTCGAAATGCGTGTGCTTTTCAACAACACATAGCTTGACGCGAAATAGATTCCGGTCTCTTTTTTTTGGATGTAATGCTTGTTGATGGACGAAAATGTTAATAATACCGAGATTGATTTATAAAAATTTGTTCCGAAAAGAAACATTTATTAGAACTTATTATTAACATAAAAATGATATGAGGTACATATTTATTGATTATTTACCATAGAAAAATTTAATCAATTATATTGTCAACTATCAAACCTTGTTTTTTTATTGAAGTATATAAACAAGAAATCAATTCCTCAACTGGCTTCAAATCTCGGAATACACGTCCCGAAGATGTGAGAAAAGGCATTTGACCTTATGGAGGTGAGATACGACAGAATATACCAATCGAAAAACGAGTATAGAAAAGTTATTATTGTACATAAATTGAATTTTGGCATGAAACAATAAGGAAAATAATAAATATGATATTGTGAAGTTGTTCGAGCAGTTGTGGTGTATGTATGTGAATATTCATTTATATTTTTAATCTAATGTGATAGTTGCACCTAACTTAAATGGTGAAATTCATATCCACGATACCCGAATATGAGATCTAATCGACTCGTTGCTACTAATTGACGTAGCGAGTGTAATTCAGAGGTCCTATGGTGCATACCATCTAAGGTCATCAAACGTTTGTATTTTATAAAATGGATAAACTTCTTTACTAAGAAAATACAAAATTTAATCCGTAAATATGATATAATAGGCCCTTTCTGAGGATTAAATTTTGTATTTACTTCTTAGTAAAGAAGCTTATCCATTTTATAAAATACAAACGTTTGATACTTTAGATGGCATGCATCATACGCACTTGGTGGAATTCAAAATTATTTGTGTTGGTAGATTTCCTTCTTTTACAATCTTGTGCTGTTGGCCGGCCATTCACAGTCGTTTTCACTGACATTTTGTAGCGGCAACTTTCGCAGTTCCACTTTTTGGGCTTTTGACGTTGGTGTCTACCTTGCAGAATGTCTTAATAAATTATTTACCATTAGATTTTTATGTTCAATTAGTGTTCAAAGCCGTTTTCGGCTGGCTGAAGCTCAGACGGCTTGAGATTTTTAACAGCTTGCCGGATCAATGATTTTGGATATGGCTGCCCGAAGCTGAGCCGTGGCTAGCTGCCTAGCCGCCTTAAAAACTGAAATCGACATGTAATACGTGTGGCAAGTCGCAACCTCTGCTGATTAAGGGAACATAATGAGAAAGCATTGTGATTGGAAGTCTTGATGAATTATACAATTTCTTATTTAATTATTAATGGAACTTCGTTATTATCTTAGTTTTTTTCCAGCACAGCCTGATCTTGAGTTTGCTGCTGCATACCAACAGAGACAAGCTATTTCTTTTTTAAAAACTTATCTTCAAGAAGCTAATAATGTTATCGATGAAATATCTTCTGACTCTTTTAAGCCAACTCTTAAAAAACCATCTGCCCTTTCATTAGTTTTTAAATGGATCTGGTACGACATCCCAAAACCATAATCCCGACAACCCATAATCCTGACAAACAAAATACCGAAAGGACGGCATTCCGAAAGCACGAAATCCTGATATTTAAAATCTTAATATTTCACTTTATACCAGATATTTAGATAATGTAAACTTTATTCTGTTATAAAAACACCACGTAAAAGAGTACTATATCTCAAATAATTATTTATTAATCAATACACTAATTTAATATCACGAAAAAAATCGATATTAATGTACTAATTTGATTTCAAAAATCGTTAATCAATTATTTACAAGAAAAAGGTTGTGTGCAATTCCACGAAGGAATTCCATTGCTGAACGATTTGCTCGATCCTCGACAACAGTCACGATTCTTTTCTCCCTATCAATTATATTTTTTCTTGGCTTGGACGTTGCTCCACGAAGAATATTTTCAATCTGATATTCAACTTCCTTTCATATCGTACATTCGGTATGCTGTGTTTTCAGAATGCCGTGCTTTCGGTATGTCGTGTTTTGGGATTTCGTTTGTCGGGCTTATGGGTTGTCGGGATCGGGATGTTGAACGTCACCGGTTCATATCAATATACATGTACATGTATATTAAAATCTAATTCACAATGATAAATTCGTATGACATGCATAGAAGATTGTTTTTTGAAATGACAATTTTTAAAGGAAAAAAGCATGATGTCAATGGTAGCCATGAGTTTTCTTTTGGAGGTTGTATCCTAAACAATCCAACGCTAACGCTAAGGCTTGTGTTAGGTTAGCGTTAAACATTATTTAGTTTAACTCTTGTAATAGGCAATGACACAGCCCTCCCCCAAACGATAACAAACACGAGATGAGATTTGTCTGTGCAGAAATTACGTATACATGTAATCAATAACAACCATGTGCATGTAGTGTAAGCATATACAGTAAACTGTTAATGTTGACGTTAACGTTACGTACATGTACATGCATTATCGTTTTTTTATAAATTTGATTCGGTCTTAAAATTAATATATTTTTCTCGCAGTCAATTCATTAAATTCATTAATAGAAATAACGATACGTAAATAATGAAATTTAGACTTTCAAGCCTATTATTGCTTTGTTGCTTTACGGCAACAGCTCTTTCGGACGACAATCAACTTGACAAAAAAATAAAGAACGTAGTTTTAATAATTCTTGAAAACCGTTCATTCTCAAAAATTGCTGGATATTTTAACTACTCCTCGGAAATTCGCGGTTTAACCGGCAAAGAATACAACTTGCTAGACCCCAAAGATCCGAATAGTCTAAAAATCTATGCTACAAATGATGCAGTTTACGTCGATAAAGATGACCCGGGTCACTCTATTCCTGATACATACGAGCAAATCACCGGCATACAAGGAGGTGATCCCAGAACTCCAATTACCGGTGTTCCACCAATGTCCGGCTTCCTGCAAAATTTCAGACGCGTCACGGGTGCTAGTAAGACTGATGTCGCAAGATTGAAACATGTTATGGACGCTTTCAAGCCGACTGATTTGCCGGTCACCTATGAGCTGGCAAAGAATTTCGCGTTGTTTGATGGATGGTATGCGAGTGTTCCTGGTCCAACTACTCCTAATCGACTATATATTCACACGGCAACATCAAACGGAATATATGAAACTAGTTATCTGAACGACATAACTGGATTTAATCAAAGATCTATTTTCGATAATCTTGACGAAGTAAATTTTTTTATAATTTTAATATTTATATTAATTATTAATAAGAATGCAATTTATAATTATAGCAAGGCATTACTTGGAAAAACTATTATTCCTTATTCCCGGAATTGATCTCATCCCAAAAACTTCGAAACAAGTCTGGATTCTCGAAGATGAAAAAATTGGACGTATTCTTTGCAGATGCTAAAGCTGGAACTCTCCCACAATACAGTCTTGTTAATCCGTAAGATATTGAAATTTTAATGAAAAGGCATTTATAATCATACTAATTATTTTTTTTAAAAAATGATTGTGATAAAACAGCATTTTTTCAGGATATCCTAATGACGATCATCCGCCTTATAGCGTTGCAAATGGAGAACGGTTTATTAAAGTAATTTACGAAGCTTTGCGTGCTTCACCTCAATGGAACAATTCTTTACTTATAATCACTTGGGACGAACATGGTATTTGCATTCTATTTAACAAAATATTTCTTTAGATCTTAATTAAAGACATACATGTACATGTATACATTAATTTTCAAATTAGGCGGATTCTACGACAATGTTCCACCACCATCTAATGTTCCACCACCAGATAACGTCGCTGCACCAAACTTTAAGTTCGATCGTCTTGGGCTTCGTGTACCAACACTTTTGATTTCTCCTTGGATTAAAAAAGGAACAGGTAAAACATCGTTGTTAACTTTATTTAAAGTTCCAAAAATATATGTACTTTAACAATTATTGTATTAAACATATCAACTCTGTAGTTGTTCACAATCCTCCGAAAAATGACACGTACTTTGAGCATTCTTCAATTCCGGCCACATTGAAAAAGATTTTTGGTCTCCCAAGATTCCTGACGAAACGGTAAGGTCATATAATTATAATGAAACAAAGGAATTTTTAAATGTGAATTTACTCATTTTATTCGTTAATTTTAGTGATGCCTGGGCTGGCACATTCGAATATCTTTGGGCTGATGTACCTTCTCCACGTACAGACACTCCCACTACGCTTCCGAATGTTCCAATATCAACTCCCAAACATCGTAGATCCCGAGTTGCAGCTAGAGACGTTTTTGATTTGGACGGTTGTCTGCAATTATTAGCATCATTCCTAAATTTAAATATTTAATTGGTCACAACATAAAAATCGAATATCGGGATTCAAGTATTTTTATATGGGGGGGGTTACTTCGTAATGCTACAATGACGCGATGTAGTTTATATTTCTTGTAAATGATATTCTTAAATTCGAAAACGTTTCATAAGCGGATGCAACGGATTCTTCAATTTTAAACCATAAGCAAATTGCAGCATACACAAGATCATTGACAAGAATCCTACTCACAATGCTCATTTTATATATGTACACACCCCTACAGTTAGTGTTGTACATGGGACATCGTGGACAGATTTCGGACATTGTGTAACCAACTTTGACGTCGAATTAAGCGAAATTTTATTAAGACAAGTTGTCTTGAACTACATCTCAAAAAAGTCGCGGACATCCAAAATGTACAACACTGCCTACAGTATATTACCGGAAATTTCAAAAATGAATCTGTCACTTTGGAACCCGATATCTCGACATCCGGTGATCCCATTCGAACAAAGATATCACCATTA